TTGACACCTAAGGAGGATGGATCATGATGCATGTTTGTGGATAGCTGAGCAATCAATAAAATTATCATCAAGTATCGCTTTCCAATTCCAAGATTGGATGATATGTTGGATTGCCTTGCCAGGTCAAAGGTGTTCTCTAAGATTGATCTTAGAAGCGGTCATCATCAAATCCGCATTAAGCCAGGTGATGAGTGAAAAACGGCTTTCAAAACACCTCATGGCCTATTTGGGTGGCTTGTGATGCCATTTTGGCTTACCAACGCTCCAAGCACTTTTATGAGGGTGATGACACAAATGTTGCAACCACTTTTGGGTGTTTATGTAGTGGTTTACTTGGATGACATCTTGATTTATAGTCGAAGCTTGGAAGAGCATTTGTGCCATCTTCGGCAAGTCTTTCAGCTTTTGAGGCGAGAAAAGTTCTATGGCAACATTAAGAAGTGTACCTTTGCTGTTGATCAAGTCATCTTCTTGGGTTATGTTGTGTCTTCTCGTGCGTTGCTTATGGACATGGAGTTAGACATGGCGATTGGCCTACTCTTTCTAGTATCTATGAAGTGCGGAGTTTTCATGGGTTGGCTACCGTCTATAGGCGGTTTATCAAGAACTTTGGTAGCTCGATGCTCTTTTAACTAACATTCTCAAGCTTAAGACTTTTAACTGGAACAAGGAAACCGCCGAAACCTTCCAACTTTTGAAGAAAGTACTTACCGAAGCTCCAATTTTGGCACTACCGGACTTTGACAAAACCTTTGAACTTGATTGTGATGCCTTGAATTGGGCATTGGTGGCGTTCTTGGCTAAAAAGGGCGGCCAGTTGCCTTCTTTAGTGAAAAGTTGAATGCGGTTGGGCTCAAATATTCTACTTATGACTTGGTATTTTATGCCATCATCCAAGCTATCAAGCATTGGAGCTACTACCTTGCTTATAAGGAGTTCATGCACAACACCGACCATGAGGCCTTCAAGTATATCAACAACCAATCCCATCTCAACAATAGACATGCCAAATGGGTGGCTTACTTGCAACAATTTACATTCTCTTTGCGACATAAATTAGGGGTTCTTAATAAAATGGTCGACGGTTTGACTAGGCGAACGACTCTTTTGATTGAGATAAAGAATAAAGCTGTGGGTTTTGATGAGTTTCGCACATTTTATGCAAGTGATTTACTTTTCCAAGATTTTTGATGCTTTGCAAAGAGGGGATGAGGCTACTTATCCAAGCTACATGATTAGGGATGGCTTCCTCTTCCATGGTCTTAAGTTGTGTGTGCGTAGTTGTTCCTTGAGGATGCATTTGTTGATTGAGCATCACAAATTGGGACATTTGGCAAGGACAAGTCCCTTGGATTATTTCAAGATGCTTATTATTGGTTGGGCATGACCAAGGATGTGGACAACCATGTGAAGCGGTGTCAAATTTTTCAAAGAAGCAAAGGGACTGCAACTAATGCGGGATTGTATATGCCTTTACCGGTGTCGGATTGTCCTTGGCAATGCATTAGTATGGACTTTGTGTTGGGTTTACCTCCTCCACAAAGGAGAAGTGATTCTATTATGGTGGTGGTGGATCATTTCTCTTAGATGGCACATTTCATACCTTGCAAGAAGACCATGGATGCTACAAATATTGTAACCTCTTCTTAAAAAAAGTCTATAAGTTGCATGGGGTGCCCACCTCTATTGTGTCCGATGGAGATACTAAGTTTCTTGCTCACTTTTGGAGAACTTTGTGGAAGAAAATTGACACCGACTTGAACTTTAGCACTACATTTCATCCTTAAACCAATGGCCAAACGAAGGTAGTGAATCGAAGTTTTGGCAACTTGTTGAGGTGTCTTGCGGAAGACCATCCCAAGAGTTGGGATGGTATTATTCCTTTGGCCGAGTTCGCTTACAATTCATTGATCAATCGCACCATAAATACTTCTCCCTTTGAAGTAGTTTATGGAATGAAACCTTCAAGTGTTATGAACTTGGTTCCTTTGCCTATCTCAAGGAAGGGAAATGTTAAAGCGAAGGACATGGCTACGTTCATGAAAAATGTCCATGCTCAAGTTCGGGACCAAATTGAAAAGTCCAATGCCAAATACAAATCAGCCGTTGATGTGCATAAACGGAAAGTGTTGTTTGAAGTGGGGGATCTTGTGTGGGTTGTGTTAAGCAAAGAAAGGTATCCTCATGGTGCTTACACGAAGTTAAGTGATAGGAAGCTGGGTCCTTGTGAAATGTTGCACAAAGTCAACGACAATGCTTATCAAGTCAAATTGCCGTCTCGTTTGGGCATCTCCAATACCTTTAATGTGCAACACCTTGTGCCTTATTTGCCGGATAATTCTTGTGCCAACGCCGCTTCTCTCATTGTAGATTAGTTCTTCTTTGTGGAATTTGTTTGTATTGTACTTTTTAGTTTTGGTTTTACTTCTAGTGCATTGGTTGTGTTTTGTTTGTTTTCACTTGAGGACAAGTTCTTTTGAGTGGGAGAGTATGTATGATGCAGGATATCATGTGCATAGCATGTGACAATTAGTGGAGGGAAATTGTAGCCTATATCTAGAAGAGGCATAACCACTTTGTAACCAACTTTTAGATATTGAACATTGGTTGATTGAGATATTTCTCTCTAAATTCTCTCTCATGTTCTTGATTGGGCTCATCATCACAAAGCCTCAAAGGTCATTCGTCCGATTGGTGGAAATAATTACAAGTTGGTAAGCCAAGAAAAGGTTAGAGAGTGGAGAAAGATGAGAAAGAAGCTCAAGGAGCACTTCTTGCCTTCTAATCACATGCCACCTTTGTTGGTTAAGAAGTAACAAAAAGAAGGGCATTTCAAGTTTCAAACATTAATACCAAAGCAACTTTGCAATCGGAAAACCATCCTATGACTATGTCCAAGTTGGTTACTCAACTAGTATTGGAATGAAAGAGACTTTTGATGATGGATGCCATCATAAGATGCTCTTTAGTGATGAGGTGGTTGAACGAAGATATGATGAGGAAGAAGCTTCTATCTTTGGTAAAGAAGACATGGAGGAAAGTTGTGGCCAAAAACAAGATTGTGGCCAAGCTCTTCCCATTTGTAATGAAGATATTCCCATCTTTGATCAAGATATGGAACAAGGCTATGATCAAGATGTTGTCATTTTTGACGACGATAGTGGGACGTTGGCTTATGTGGAAGTTGATTTTTGTGAATATGAAGAGGAAGTTGATGTTTGTAAATATGGCGGTGTTCCAATCTTTGACCACTAGGCTAATAAGGATGACTTTCTTGTAGAAAGTGAAGGTGTCCTTGAAGATGAAGAAACTTTTGTAGATGAAGCAAGTTTTGCTCGTACATTGCTTCCCATGAAGTGGTTGCAATCCCACCTTTTATCCCTTTTCTAGATTCCAAAAAAATTATGGTGGAGAGTCATAAAGTTGAAGTTTCATAGGTATTGAATGATCTTTGCTTCCGAGAAATGCCTACTATGCTATCTTCAAAGCCATTTGTTCCACTTTGTGTTGATTTGGTATCCAGCCCAGTTTCGTGGAGGATGGATGAGTTTATTTTGGGACTATGTGAGAAGCGTTATTTTGATGACATCTTGCTTCCAAAACAGCATGCTACATGGGTGGCTTATTTACAGCTCAACATGGCTTCGGTTGATGTGCATAAACGAGAACTTGTTTTGATGGAGGGATATTTTTTAGGGCGCTGATCTTGAATAAGGACTTACTACTTAATTTTGTTAGCCGTTGCATGTCCATTATGCTTCCATGAGGCATTGTTTTTGAGTCATTTTGTTGATGTCATTGTCTTTGAGTCATTTTGTTGTAGGACAAGTTGTTTTCTTTAGAGGAGGGGGAGTCTGATGTAGTTAGAATTAGTATGGTTATATTTTAGATCCATAGCAGTTGGTTGGAATTAATTGGGTCTTTTATTCTATAAATAGGTGGTTAGGCCCCTCTAGTATTCAATTTATATATTTGAGATTGTATTTTCAGAACTGAGAGCTCTTTAATCTCTGTATAGAGATTTTCTCTCTCTAATAAAATCCATTTCTTGATTTGGCTCCATCATTTAGATGAGTTGACTCTGATCTAATATAGTATGCCTGAGTTGCTTGTAAATTTGTTGCGGTATCTGATCAAATCTAATATATTTTGCTTGTATTGACTTTGGGTATGACCTAAATTTGTATGATCTAATATATTTTGCTTGTATTGACTTTGTGGGCCAAGCTTCTCATTCGGCTTGTGGTTTCTCATGGCTATATGGCTAGTATGGGAGAGATATCGAGCTTCACGAAACATGTAATAATCTTATCAATACACAAATGTATCACTTCCTTTAGGATTTTAGTTGTGCTCATAGTCATCACTATAGGATTTGGTCCAATATTTCCCTGACCCTCTTCTCATCAACAGATTTCTGACATGGATGAAGTGGTACTGTTCATTTGATAAATTCTTACCTCTAAATCTAGTCGGTTAACAACTTCTTTGTGGAATTTGTTTGTATTAAAAAAAAAAAAAACTATAGTTCTTTTCATTCTCATTTTCAAGGGTTTCATAATTAGATATTGAAATGCGTTTCATGGTGGGAGTTGCCAGTTTAGTGGCTTAGCTCTGCTATGTGCTATTGAGAAAGTAAATTCCATGCTTTTGACCTACTGAAGCAAACAAATTTATTCAATCTTCACTGTTAACCTTACCATTATGCGGTTGCTGCATGTTGTGTAAATTTTAATTGTTCGAACTTTTATTGAGCCCAAATAATAGAAAAAGCAAGGAATTGTTCGTGTGTTCTGGGTATCATGCAACACACGTATCTCTTTGTTCAAGTTTTATTTTTTTAATTATTATTATTATTATTTATAATTTAAAAGGAAAAAAAAAAAAAACCGAATCCTGGAGATACGTAACGATGTAGAAAAAGGGAATTAGGTCTAATTCCATAATGAAGGCATTTATCTTATTTTTGGATGGGTGTTGGTTCTTTGTTTTTATTCTAGGGCTTGACAACAGGTGGACTTCCAACTTTTATTGATGTTGGGAATAGCTTTGGTGCCCCTGCAATTGTTGAAGATAACCTGATATATCAAGTTTGTCCCTACTCTTGATCATATTTTTGTGTTTATTTATTTATTTATCTTAATGTATTTATTGGCCATAGTTCAAATTGTGATTTCTTACCACTTGATTATATGTGTCTACAGCTAGTTCATAATGGAAAGCGAGTGATAATGATGGGGGATGATACATGGTTGCAGTTGTTTCCTCACCATTTTAATAAATCTTATCCCTTTCCCTCCTTTAATGTTAAGGATCTTCATACGGTATATTGCTAACTGTTTCGTATATATTGAAAATGAAACTTCAGTACTAACTTTATTGTGCATCAAAATGTAAGTGACATTTTTCTGAAGTTACTAGATTATTTTTGTTCTTATTTCTTCCTTGCTTGAACCTTCATGACATTTTTCTACTAGGTCGACAACGGGTGCACCACACACTTGTTCCCATCCTTGTATGAAGAAGATTGGGATGTTCTTATTGCACATTTTCTTGGTGTGGTATGTTTGTGTCTTGCTTCATTTACCACAAAGAATTGATTATCTTTGTTTATTATTTCTTTAGGCCAGTTGATGTTTACTCCATATTTGGTGTTGAGATACATAAACATATTGTGCTATGCAAGATACATATATACCTGTTCACCTATCTATTCTAGCATTGAATTTGTCACCTATCTATGTATTCTAGCATAGAATTTGTTCAAGTGATATTACAATGTATACTATATTATTAGTCTCCATGTTCTTTGTCCTCTAGAAACTAACCCAAAATGTCGTAGGATGATAGCTGGGGAATGATTAATTTCTTGGCAGAAAGTAATGGACAACCTTTTTAATAGGGAGATTCATCAGATTGCCAGAGAGGACTGATTATCAAGCAAGCTTCTAATATGGGGCCTTTTATACATATAAAAGGATGAATTTTGAATCATTTTTTGGCACAACCGAACCAATTAATAATTTAAATTTTATTTAAAAATTTTTAACTTTCATATTGTTGAGTATAAAACTCAAATTATTAGCCGCGTGAATAGGTCAACTGTTGCGAGTGAACTATGATAGGTGTGAGGTGCTTTTATAAGAAGTGGGACTTCTCAAATGCTGGAATTATGAGGATTTGGAATCCCATTCCCATTTTCATTCCCCCTCAAGATTACCATCATTCAAAAATAGTTGTTAAGGATTAAAATAATCCATGCTGGATTACTAAATAAAAAATTAATGAACTATAACAAGGTACCTAAACATCACCATTTTCGCAATTTAGCTGCAAAAATTCTAATCAAGCTTTTTTATCTAACTTGTCAATCAAATCCAATTAATTGATTGAATGTGAGATTTAATTAATTTCAACTTTGAAAAGTTTATTTCCCCAAAAGCAATTGTAACAACTATACATAATAGTATTTTATACACAATCTAACATTTGGGAAACAATCATCCATTAGTTTCAAATAATTCACCACGTCAACAGTTGTTTGGTTTATTTTTAGGGTGCCTTTTTTTATGAACAAGTATAATAGCAGACATTTTTGTGGGGTCCTTTTGCAACCAGTTTTTTTGGGGCCCAAAGCGGCTGCTTACTCAACTTGTTCCCAAAACCGGCCCTGCGGATTATGAGAACTCCATCATGACTAAAGTCAGGCATATGAACTCCCACCTTCACTTGGAAATCACACTACTTTGAAGTCACTCCTAATGCACTGAGCGAACTCCCACTTGTCTTGATCTCCACTCAACTCCACCCACTAGCTACTTCTCTCCTAGTCCTTAACTGATACACAAATCCACAAGATGACTTTTTAAAGCCATGCATCAAATTCTCACGTCCCACATAACATGCCACTCAACGTCTCTTAGCTAAGCTAATGTCATGACCCGAACCTACCCCTAGAAGTTTGGATCATAACCGGCCGGTAATCACTTGATTACCTTCGGCCTCAAACAAATATACAGAGTAATTATAGTAATAGGGCCAAAAGCGGAAGTATACAACAAAAGAATGAGTCAATTGAGTTATACTAATATGAGCAAAATGTAACACAACCACGTCATTTACATGACCATGCAAAAAGAATATAAGTATCAAGGAAAGTTGTGCATAACGCTTACAAAACCCAAGACCATATTAGTAAAACAAAGTAAGGTCAAAATATGATGTGAGTCAAGGACAAAACTCCATCTTGGAGGCACGACTTGATTGGGTCTCAAAAATGATAGTTCCTGAAGCTGACTTTAAGGGTGTGCTCCATGCTGCGGGTTACATATGTGTGCATACATAAAATTGTATGAGCGAAGCTCAATGAGTAATAGCAATACAGTAAAACAGTGTAACTAGATAGTCATAAGATTTCCACAATACCCATCATCGAATAAACAAAACGGCCTTAGGCCCAATCATATATCAAAATGGCCTCGGGCCCAACATATATCAAAACGGCTTCGGGCCCACATTGCACATGTCCTATAATGTTAATGGAGTTTCTCATTTCAATCAATTCACCAAGTTGGCACCAATCACCATTCATGGTTCGAGATACACAATAAGAAACATATATATATGATATTATTACTCACAGTGATGATTAATCTTGCGGCGTTTCCTTCTACACACGACCTATACCAAACATGTTACACATACGTATTCGTTAAATAAGTCGTTCATATCATGTACATCTTCTTTTAATGATTTGCAACCCGTGTTAATGGTTCCTAATAATGATTTTACTCCCAAAAGGGTTTAAATAAGGTTGGGAATGCATTCCGGAAGTCGAGAGCATCGATATAAGAAAACAGGATTTTCCCCCTGCCAAGTTGCACGTGCGGCGGGTCCAACTGCTCGAGCGGTCTGGCTCCACACGTGCGGAAATTTCAGCCGCTCGAGCGCCCAGTCTTCCAGATTGGTTCAAGGTATGGGCCGCTCGTGCGGAGCCCGTGGCCGCACGAGCGGTCTGGGCACACCCAGACAGTCCGAAAATGGTGAAAATTGCCAAACCTTCCAAAATCATTTCCAAGCTCAAATTCATGTAAAAACAACTCAAAAACATGATATCTAAGCATGACCCAAGTGCAATTCCATATTAAACATATCAATCTTGCATCAACAACAATTCCATGATCTCATCTATCTCATATTCTCATAATTTACATCCTCAAGCTCAAAACATAAATGAACATGGCAAACCTTCCAACAAATCTTAGTTACATGAACCAACTAGGGTTTATTTCATGGATTAATCATAGGTTTGAATTCAAATCAAACAAAACAAAGAAGAGATTAAGGTTCTATTTCTTGCATTTAGTTCAACCCATTAAACAACCCAAAACCCTAGCTCAACTTTTCAATTTCTTCTTGATTTTATGCCAAAGATGAGTTAAAAGACAGAGATTCAAGTAAATTTCCATACCTTAGCTTCAATCTAGGGTTTTCCCCCTTGATTCCCTTCAAATCTCTAGCTCTCTCCTCTTCCTCTCTCTCTAACTTACACTTTGTGCTCTCTTCCCCCAAAATGAAGAACAAATAGACTAATCCCCCATATTTAACTCAATAATCTTAATTTATTCATTATGAATCGTAATTTTTCAAAATCTCACCAAAAGCTCTAAAAATCATACTAATCATTACTATGAAGTCGGTTTTCGTTTATCGCGCCTCTACGGCCTTCAATTTCAGTTCAAAGTTTCAATTGTAACAGATATTCCTACTTTCAACAAATATTATTCCAAATTCACTTAATCAACATATTCAAACTCGAAATTTCAAATAAAACATATAATTACATGCATAATTAAGCATAGTACAGGTTGGGTTATTATAGCTAACCCATCCAACCACCCACCGATAGGGTTCCTATGTGCAACTTATAGCTCCCAAGTTAATGCAGTGGAAGAAGATGAAGAGCAGAATTTGAAACAACAAGAAAATCACAACTCTTCTACAACTCTCTTGAATTTGAAGAGTACCATAATTGTAGGAAAGAGGAGATTTCCCTCACTGAAAATGTATATCAATTATCAAAATTGAATGGCCTTAAGGCCTACAATCATTATTTATAATAAGAAAACCCTAACCTAGATAGGAAACAACTGAATAAAGGTATTTCTTTAATTAATGCAGCAAAAATCAAAGAAAATAACTAAATTACCAAAAATAGCAAATTTGAGTTAGGCTCAAATTTGGACACCAGGAAGAAAAATTAATGTTTTGAAAAAAACGTAGTCAAAATTGGATTCGTCTAGACCAAGTAATTAACAAATCAAAACTTTTCAAAAATGGATAAATTGTCAAATTGAAAGCTTAGATGTTGGAATTTGCCCAAAATCCACCGGTATCCACAGTGCAACGATGGAACCTGATCTCCACAATGTTTTCCATGTGCCTATCCATACATATCTTCTAGGAACTATGGCCAAGCACTCTGCATCACAAGTACACCAAAACCACAAACCTCTCCCCCATTTAGTTTTAACACCAATTTAGTTTCTTGCAATTGAACCATATCCACCCTTGGGTCTTACCTGTCCTCATTAGAACATTCGTTTGTCTTTTCTTAATCTCTTGGAAAATCCATGATACAACATAGACCTTCACGAGGTAATTGTAAGAGGTCCTTTCCCCTCCACTTTGACCACATTTCCTCTTCTATTCCTTTTTGCTTCTCTGTTCTTTGATCAACATAGTTCGACTGTATTTACAAAATTTTCAAGGTAACTAAATGGGCTCCACAAGTAAATTTTTGGGTGATTGGTTTTGGTTTGCACTTCTAAGTTATGAAGGAGTTTATTTTATATTGTTTTTGGAGAAAGGAAATTTTTTAAAGTTTGACGGTAACATTTTTCTCTCTTTAGTTTTTTGAGAAGCAAGCTTTGAGGAAGAAATTTGTTTGAAATATGTACTTGCCAAAAGAAAAAAAAAAATCATTTGTACACATTATTTGATTTCCCTTGCCATTCTTATGAACATATGTATCTAATTCATATCAATTCAAGAAACCTTTATATCAATTACTTAGGATGGGTACATAGATCTGTTTCTTCCAATTGGCTCTAATAAAAGCCATATCCTTAATTAAGTCTAAAGCAATTATGTCCTTTTTATTGTTTCAAATCATGGGCTACTTGACCTTTTTGTATTTCTTTTAGAACTTCAAAGAACTTCTCGTAATTTATCTTTAGTAGGTTCAACATCCACTACCCTAATGCATTCATTTGTAAGAGGCGGTGGAAGTGGTGTCAGTGCGTCGTGAGAACCACATCTCGACCTCAACTTTCCCTTAGCACCTGAACTAGAGCTTGTCCCTCTAAACCACTTTTGTGGGAGGAAAGACCTATTAACCTAAAGAATCCAAATCATATAGAAGTCATTGTTGAAAAACAAAAGCAAGAGCGTATCTCAAGAAGCGAATGAGCGTGTTGAGGTGGGGTAAATTACACTTTGCACCCTTATACTTTGCACCAAATCTTACTTTGCACCAAATCTTACTTTGATCCCTACA